AAGGTTATACTTTTCTAAGAATTGTCCATTTGTCCAAGTTGTCCATTTAACTGGCTCATAGTAGGCTCTTATGATCTTTTGCATTTCTGTGTTACCTGTTGTGATTTCTCAATTTTCATTTCTAATTTTATTGATGTGATTCTTCTCCCTGTTCTTCTTGATGAGTCTGGCAAACAGTCTGTCAACTTTATTTACCTTCTCAAGGAACAAGTTTTTAGTTCTGATTTTTTTAAAGGTCTTTATTTCTTTTTTATTTATTTCTGCTCTAATTTTTATGATTTCTTTCCTTCTACTAACTTTGGGATTCTTTTTTTTTTTTCTAGTTGCTTTAAGTGTATGGATAGGTTGTTTATTTGATGTTATTCTTGTTTCTTGAAGCAGGCTTGTATTGCTGTGAACCTCCCTCTTAGCACTGCTTTTACCAAATTCCACAGGTTTTAGGTGCTTGTGTTTTCATTTTCATTTGTTTCTATGCATATTTTTATTTTCTTTTTGATTTGTTCCATGATCTGTTGATTATTCAGAACCATGTTGTTCACCTCCATTTCATTTACAATCGGGAACAAGACAAGGGTGCCCACTCTCACCACTACTATTCAACATAGTTTTGGAAGTCCTAGCCACAACAATCAGAGAAGAAAAAGAAATAAAGGGAATCCAGATTGGAAAAGAAGAAGTAAAACTCTCACTGTTTGCAGATGACATGATACTCTATGCAGAAAACCTTAAAGAGACTACCAGAAAATTACTAGAACTAATCAATGAATATAGTAAAGATGCAGGATATAAAACTAATACACAGACATCCCTTGCATTCCTATACACTAACAATGACAAAACAGAAAGAGAAATTAAGGAAACAATCCCATGAACCACTGCAAGGAAAAGAATCAAATACTGAGGAATAAATTTACCTAAAGAAACAAAAGGCCTATATATAAAAAACTATAATAAACTGATGAAAGAAATCAAAGATGACACAAATAGAGGGAGAAATATACCATGTTCATGGACCAGAAGAATCAATAAGGTGAAAATCAGTATACTACCCAAAGCAATCTATAGATTCAATGCAATCCCTATCAAGCTACCAATGGTATTTTTCAGAGAACTAGAANTCCCCAGGTACCTATTTTACATATGGTAATATGTATGTGTCAATGCTACTCGCTCAGTCCGTCCTACCCTCTCTTTCCTCACTGTGTCCAAATTCTGTTCTTTATGTCTGTGTCTCTATTCCTGCCCTACAAATAGGTTCATCAGTACCATTTTTTTAGATTTCTTATATATATGTGTGTGTGTGTGTGTGTGTGTGTGTCAATATATAAAAACAAATATCATATATTGACGCATATATATGCTGCATGCTCTTTAAGCATCAGTTTTGAAGAGATTCATAAAGGACTAAAATTAGTGTTATAGTCACATTAAAATGAATCAGATACCTCTTTTGTCTCATTGATGTAGGTACTTTATAAAGCATGATCAGTGTCTCATACATGTAAAAATGTATCTTCTAACAGCTACCCAATCTTCTTTAATTGTAGTAGGCTCTCTCTTCCAATGTGGATTTTTCCATCAACTACCGAAAGTAGCAAATGAGTGTATCTATTTTTCTCTTTGCCCTCCCTCCAGTAGCTGAGCTTGTTCTCCCAGCTTCTCTCTATCTGGTATTTCAACTGAAAGTTCATACTCTGTGAAGTTGTCCATTGTTTGGAACTACTCCTGGGTGACTGACTCCCACAGTGAAAACTATTAGAGAGGAGGAAGTGGGAACCGAGGAGACAGAGGGAAAAGGGGGAGACCCACAGACCTCAGGAAAGCCCTCCAGAAAAATCATCTCCCCAGGAGACAAGACAAAACAGAGGCTTGTGTTTCTTCCCTGTGGCCAAATTTCCCTACTCAAAAACTGGTGTTAGCTGGAAAACAACATATTTCTACTTAGTTTGCTTGTGTTTAATTCTGTTTTGTTTATTTACCTATAAGTTACATTAATATATATTGATTTTACTGTTTCAATCTGATACAATTCACAGTACATTTCATCCTACTTACAGTAGGCATATATGATATAGAGATCATTTATGCATATCAGTAATGACAGTTCGATTGTGAAGAAAGCAGAGTGATGAAAAATTGATGCTTTTGAAGTGTGGTGTTGGAGAAGACTCTTGAGAGTCCCTTGGACTGCAAGGAGATCCAACCAGTCCATCCTAAAGGAGATCAGTCCTGGGTGTTCATTGGAAGGACTGATGCTGAAGCCGAAACTCCAGTACTTTGGCCACCTCATGTGAAGAGTTGACTCATCGGAAAAGACCCTGATGTTGGGAGGGATTAGGGGCAGGAGGAGAAGGGGATGACAGAGGATGAGATGGCTGGATGGCATCACCGACTCAATGGGCATGAGTTTGAGCAAACTCCAGGAGTTTGTGATGGACAGGGAGGCCTGGTGTGCTGCAATTCATTGGGTCGCAAAGAGTTGGACACGACTGAGCAACTGAACTGAACTGAACTGATTGGTCATAGCTTTCCTTCAAAGGAGCAAGTGTCTTTAATTTCATGGTTGCAGTCACCATCTGCAGTGATTTTGGAGCCCGAGAAAATAAAGTCTGTCACTGTTTCCATTGTTTCCCCATCTCTTCACCATGAAGTGATGGGACCAGATGCCATGATCTTTGTTTTTTGAATGTCGAGTTTTAAGCCAGCTTTTTCACTATAAAAGTCATCATTTACAAAACATTACAGCAAGAAAGGAAGAGGGGAATCACAAAACAGTCAAAAATCAATTACCTAGATGGTAGTAGCAAGTCCTTACTGACCAATAATTACTTTAAACATAAATGAATTCAATGATCCAACCAAAAGGGATAAAGGGACTAATGGATTTTTTAAAAAATAAAGTCCAACATATGCTGCCTACAATATGCCTTAACTGCAAGGACACACACAGGATCAAAGTAGGTTCCTTTAAAAACAAGAAATACAACTCCCATATGACTCAGCAATTCCACTAGTGGGCATAAACTCTGAGAACATTGTAATTCAAAAGGACACATGTAGGGAATTCCCTGGTGGTCCAGTGGTTAAGAATTTGCCTTCCAGTGCAGGGAATGAAGGTTCAATTCCTGGTTGGGGAACTAAGATCCCACATGTCATGGAGTAACTAAGCCCATGTGATGTAAATCCCAGATGCTCTGGGGTCCCACTTGATACAACTAGACAGTCCTCTGACTGCAAGGAAAGACCCACATGGCACAAGGAAGATCCTCACATGCAGCAATTAAGAATCAACAAAGCCAAATAAATAAGTAATTAAAAAAAAAACACATATGCCCAATGTTCACTGAAGCACTATTTTCAATAGCCAGGACACTGAAGCAACCTAGGTGTCCACTGACATAAATAAGAAGTTGTGATACATATACACAATGGAACATTACTCAGTCATAAAAAAGGAATAGAATTAGTTGTAGAGACCTGGATAGAACAAAAATCTGTCATATAGAGTGAAACAAATCAGAAAGAGAAAAACAAATATTGTATATTAATGCATCTATGTATAAACCAGAGAAAGGGTAGTGATGAACCTTGTTTTAAGGCTGGAATAGAGACACAGGCATAGAGAATGGACATGTTGACATAGAAAGGGGCAGGGTAGGAAGATGAGGTTAGGAAAAACTGGGAGATTAGAATTGACATATATACACTTCCATATGTAAAATAGATAGCTAATAGGAACCTGCTATAAAGCACAGGAAGCTCAGCTCAATGCTTTTTGATGACCTCAGTTAGTCAGTTCAGTCAGTTCAGTTGCTCAGTCATGTCCGACTCTTCACAACCCCACGAGTCACAGTACGCCAGGCCTCCCTATCCATCACAAACTCCCAGAGTTTACTCAAACTCATGCCCATCGAGTCGGTGACGTCATCCAGCCATCTCATCCTCTGTCATCCCATTCTCCTCCTGCCTCTAATCCCTCTCAGCATCAGGGTCTTTTCCAACAAGCCAACTCTTCACATGAGGTGGCCAAAGTACTGGAGTTTCAGCTTCAGCACCAGTCCTTCCAATGAACACCCAGGACTGATCTCCTTTAGGATGGACTGGTTGGATCTCCTTGCAGTCCAAGGGACTCTCAAGAGTCTTCTCCAACACCACAGTTCAAAAGCATCAATT